CCCCAAAACCCCAAAACCCCAAGTGAGCGATCTTAAGTAGGAATATTTGAATTCATTAATTTGAAAATATATAATAGATTAAAACATATTTTTTCATAGTTATATACTCGTTAAAACAGTCAGAAAAATGGGTTGCGGTTCATCAAAGGACGGAAAATAACCAGGTACCGTCAAGAAAATTGGTTCACCAAGTAAACAAGGTTCATCACCATCAAGATAAGAGTCTCCATCAAAGGCAGGATCTAAATCGATCAAATAAGTAAGCGAATCCGAATTGCAAAAGCATAAAGTTGGAGACATATTAGGATTTGTTAAGAGTGGAAACATTGCTATGGTCCATGGCCTTATAGGATACTATAAACTAGATTAAGCAGTCATTCTCTTACGAGATTTTAAGGAAGAACACAAATTAAGCAATACTGAGAAAATTCCTATGAATGATTGGAATCCATTATTGATTGCTATTGCTAATAAAAAGCTTGAGATTGTCAGATATTTCACTCAAAATTTGAATTTATCTGTTAAGCAATGGACAATGAACCCAGTAGTCCAATAAGAGGAACTCTATATTGACTAATAGATCTTTGGTCTTACTCTTACTATTGGAAATAAAGATTTACCAATGTTCAAGGAATTATGGAACATTCATTACACTGTTTGGGAAGATGTTCATGTCTTACCTGTACTCTAGGCTTTGATTAGTGCTAAGTGGGTAGATGGAATCAAAGCTTTCTTCTCATCATACACTACTGATATCCTCTACAGTTCACAATCACAAGATTCTTAGATAGAGTTTTTAAGAGAAATTTTGAAAGTCAGAAAGTCTTCATCTAATGACATTCACAAAGTTCTTGATGAACTACTTAACAAGAATCCATATCTATTGGCCCTTGTTTATATTGCTCTCACTGATTCCGCTGAGGAATGCTTAACTAAGGCAGAGTAAAAAGTAGTTATTGAAAAGAACTATCAGAATATTCAGGAGTTTTCCTACGCTCATCTAAAGTTCACTTAGCCACAAGTTGAGTAGGTATTAAATGATTACGAAGCCAGAGGAGAAGTTGAGAAGGCGACAGTTGCTAAATTGAAAGAGCATTTGGCAAGCTTAGATGAGAAATTGGCTTAAAATGATTCTTTTAGTAGTCTAGATTAGTTCTAAGCATACAACTAAGCATTCTTTGAGGCTGTAATTACTCAAGATCTTGAGAAAGTTAGAGAGTTTGCTGGCTAATTAGGATTAAGATAAGTACCTTACACTGATGGAGAAAATTCAAGCTCAGGACTGTATGAAATTTATAGTATCAATTATCAAACCTACTGGCCTGTAACCTTAAGCATTCTTTTCAAAGACGATATCCACATTCAAGAAATATATGGGTATCTAATTAGTAATGGATTCAACATCAGATAGGTTCTTAGTTAGACATCAAGAAGAGGAGTATTAGATGCAAGAGAAATAATAAGCGTTCCTCAAGCTCTTGGAGTTTCCTTACTTCTTAGTGCTGAGACTGGAAAAGAAAATTTACTTCAATATTTACTCTCAACTGAATTTATTAATGTGTTTGATGTTCAACACTTCAAGATTTTGGTATATGCAGTTTTGAGATTCAATGGCCCAATGATGAGGACTGTTCTCACTAGTCCAGTTGGAACAAACTCATTCTTGCAAATGACTACTTCATAAAGATTTGAATTTGTTGAAAACGTATATAGAGGTTCTTTCCAGTCAAGTGATGCACTAGAAGCTCTTGCTTCAAAGTACTATGCTCCATATCTCTTGCTTATCCTTACAGAAAGAGATTACTTCATGAAACTGACTGATTTTACTTTATACAATCAAGCCATAGATAATTTATCAATTTTGGAGCTTGAATAATTAGCTAAGTCTAGTGATTATGATGAAAGATTCCTTGCTTTCTTCAGATACATTGACATCTTGGATGTAACAGATCCAAAAAAGACCAATGGTCAAAGATTGATTTAGTTAATTCAAGAAAATCAAAAGTTTAGAGCTTTCTTAGATTAAACACTTAAAATTCTTGAAAATGACTCTATAGTTCAGGATGAACCAGAAGAAGAAATCACAAGAAAAGTCTAAAATCCATCAATTAATAAGCACTCTGAGAAAACTTAAATCAAAGACATAAATATTGATAACCTCTTGAATTGTATTACCTCAAACGATTCACAAGGTGCTATAAATTTCTTGTCAACCTACAGACTTTCAGATCTTCAATTCTTCAAGGGATCAGCTCAGGTTAGCTTGAGCATTTATAAGTTGCATGAAAATTAAAGAGATTTTATTGAAACCAATGTGGCTCATTCATCTTTGAACATACTTCAAATAGCTTGTGCTTACAACCAATTAAATCTTGTAAGCTACATTCTACATTAGCACAAGACATTCTAACACTCACACAGACAGTTGAAAGAAACTGATCCAAGATTGATTATTCAGAACTATGAAGATTCTGATGAAACTTTGACTTTGAGATTAGCTCTTTAATATGGATCTCAATTCATATTCCAGCACTTGTGGTAGAATTTCGGCTATCTTTTTACTGAAAGACATCTCCTTGTTGTTGCTAGATTTATGAAATTCTTGAATTTAGATCACAAATTCAGAGATTTCCTCTATTCTTCTACTACTGATGAGATTTTTAAGAACTCACCTTAATCAATCAAATATGATTTCGTTCAAATCTTTAATAACATTGATGCTTCTTACCAAGAAGAAGTTAACCTTATTCTTCAAACCAACTATAATAATTTTGACAGAGGTGTCAATGATGACATCCTCTTACAAATATACAACGTAGTTAGAGATAACGAAGTTGAACAACTTGAGCAAATAGTCAATAACTACCAAATTAGTGGCATTGCTCAACTTCATTTTGATTTCTTCTAGGAAGATGAAGAAGTTTTGAATCTTGCAGATGATCAAAAGATTACTGTTTCATTCCTGAACCCCATTCTACTTTCAGTCAAGTCCAAGAGCTTTTCAAGCTTAAAGTTTTTGGTTGAGAGATTCGGCATAAGAAGATCAATGAGAAATATTGACCTAGTCTTCAGACACGAGACTCTAGGGGAATATGGATTCAAGAACCTTTTATTGCCAATTCTCCTTAAAATTAAGGACACAGATGCCTTATCTTACCTTACCAACAAGGCTAGAGATTTAGTTTTATCCTCATAAGATTTGACTTCATTCATAAGTCTTTCACTCTAAGAAAGATGGCTAGCTGGACTGAAGACTTTCTTGATTTCAGATACTGCTCTTTTCTATTTCTAAGCACTTAGCTTTGATGAGCAAAGACTATTCGTTGAGAGAGTAGTTAAGTTCATCTCAGATCTAGAGGACCCTACTCAAAAAAGATAATTTGTAGCAAACATCATCGAAGAATGCCTCACAAGAAGACCTTACTCAAAGCACTTGGTTTGTGTTCTAATTGAAGGTGGCCTTAAAGCAGAGAATTCCCTTCCAAAACTTGCAAGAGAATGTCTCAAGAATCTTACAAGTGAGGATCTTATGTAATTGGCTAACAGCGACCATCATGCCTTAGCTGAGTATGAAAGAAGATTCAATGATATCAAGGGTGACAAATTTGAAAATGAAATTGCAAAGATCTTACTCAGATACGCCAACGAGGGAAGACCAGATCATTTCGCTCCCCAGTATGTCGAGAGCAGAAAGCAAGTCAGATTCGAGGAAGCACATGATAATGGTAGTGTACAAGAAAACAGAATTTGATGCAATAGAATATAAATTGAATTGGCAAAGCCTGATAAATTTTAATATCGCATTTTCATTCATATATTTCATTTAAAACACTCGATTCTAGTCATTAGGGGTTTTGGGGTTTTGGGGTTTTGGGGTTTTGGGGTTTTGGGG